TTTAGGGTTTAGGGTTCGGGGTTTCCAATGCCTACAGTATCTGTTGCTCAAAGAACCTACGATTTGAGGCGTTTCGGCGCTCTCACACTCGGACGATCAACTTGAGGGGTTTAGGGGGCGTTATAGGGTTTAAGGCTGTAGGGTTTTATAACCCACTGTTGTGATGCTTGCTTCTGGATTTGCGGGATGATGACTAACGAGGGGCTAGCGGAAGAAAATAAAAACGGTTTGTACATGGGGCCCAAAGAGCGTGATCTACGGCGTCGGGAACATGATATCCTGCCCATTAACATGAACCTCGGAAGAAGAGGACCTCACACGCACACACACACACACACACATGCTGCAGCCAAACTCTTATGGAATGGGGCAGGCACGACTCGTGATTCTGCCCTCCCCCTGAATCCTTTATCATATCTGCAGGTCTGGACCACAGGTCCAAGTGGACGGATATCTGCCGATGTGCAATCCCGAGAAGATGAGATTGAATTGGTGCTTAGAGTATGGCCGGAGGGCTCTGGAAATAGAAACATAGCAGGACAAGGAAACTAACAACTCGAAACAACCAACAGCAACAAAAACACACCCTCAACAACAGCAAAACAAAAAAAACACCTAGACCCTTGAGCCCTACATTCAAAACACCTAGACCCTTGAGCCCCTACGAGTACAACCTCAAAGCCCTAGACCCAAAGAAACCACGGGCGGACTCAGGCATGGGCCCAGCCATCGGAGCTACCTGCCCACCTCAGCGAGCTGGTTTGCGATCTGAAAGAGAGGACTACTTTCGGTTTCTTTTCCTGTTAGAGAGGGTATGGAGGTTAGGGACGGCTTTGGGGGTTTGCATTGAGACTGGCCACCACTTCAGGGTCTTAGAGGGTCTACTGTCGGCCTTTCAACGTCATGATGAGGGTGGAGGGGGCATGTAGAGTTGGGGTGTTGAGGGCTTACCTTCAGAACCAAACAGCCACTGAGACTTCCAGACCTTATACCTCTATGTGGGTAGTTCTCTAAGTTAGGGTCCCGTTTTAATTAAAACGGCACCCTCATAAAAGGACCCGCAAAGGGACCCTAATTTGCACCGCGTGATTGGGGCTTTCGGCACTATTGGTTAATCTCGAATTCAATGTGTTTGACCCCCAAGCCCGAATCCCTAGGCAAACCATAAACTTTGCCCTAGACCCGCAAAACCCAAGCTGTAAAAGCCTAAACCCTAGACCAAGCCCGAAACTTTCCCAATGCTAGATGTTGAACCGACTAGCCCACAGTCCTGCCCCCTCAAACCTTCAACTCCCAGACCTCTGATGCCTTTACAGAGAAGGGATCCGAATAATCAGACCCTTAAGGAAGCAGACACGTGAGAGCAAAAAAGCTGAGACGAAAGCCGGTCGATCCGGAGCACTTCGGAGAAGGGGTTCCCAACTGAGAGGTTAGGGATCTAGGATTAAGTTTGAAGGGGCTTAAGGGTTGTTGAGGTCGCATGGGGGTTGATAAGGAAGGGCTTTCGGCGCATTTGTTGGAGGGTTCCGTCTTGCGCTTGGGTTGACGAAATTGGGGTGCGCTGTTGATCTGGAGGTTTATATTATACAGTCCA